CCTTTGAAGGTACATCACCATTCTTACAAAACATTTTCTACTTTAAAGCAATTACCCAGGCAAGTACATAACATCCCATACAAAGAACATTTAAACATTTGGTTATACAATTATTTGAAAGTAAAAAACTTGGAGACTAGAGCCTGCCATTCAACCTTTTACTTTCTTCCACGTACATACTGTTCAGGGTTTATGGTGTTCTTCCCTCACTGAAGACATCTCAGGATACCCTGCTATCAAAACGAGAAAGTGCTTTGCATTTTTATCCCTGTGAGTTAATGGTTTCCCACAGTATTTATTGTATGGAATTCTCAAGTACTTTTGCTCATCAACTATTCTAGGACACCTATCAACAGCATCTCAGTGTTTCCTATAAAGAAAGAAAGTCTTACCTCAAAGCTCTGATCTCACTTGGCTGGATAAAGGTGCCCATTAATGTTGGTTGCTGTTATGTGCAGCAGCTGTCAAAACTTTTAGTCTAAAATATTTAAAGGGGAAAAAAACGCAGATCTGATTGCACTGAAGAAAATCATTAATCTCTCCTACTTTTCATTTCATTCTTAGCTCATTAGATTTTTCAGTGTTTTAGACACAAAACAGAACATTTAAAAAAATCAGAAAGAACACCTGAGGTTGATCAAAATGCTTGCCTTTTTTAAAAACCTTTTTCATTACCTGCAACATTTCAAACATTTTCAAGTTTCACTATAGTAATTCTATTTCTACTTTCAGCATCCTGATCCAGCTTTGTTCTTGCAAGCGCTCAACACATCAGCAAGTCAGGTTACAGGTACCTCAGCTTGTTCATCAACAACATATACAGACACCAGCTGCATGTCAAATTGTCATTTACAGAGCTTGCCCAGCATTACTAAAGAAACTCTTGCCTGAAGTTGAGGCACAAATTCCTCCTTTACGGGCCATTAGAGTACTCACTTGCCTCAGTTATCACACTCTCCAACACGGAGGAGAAATTAAATCAGCAATCTCATCCTGAGCTTCCTCCCCTCCAATGTTGTTGAAATTGAACACTGCCCTTCAGCAGGGTAGCTTTATCCAGGGAAAAAGCGCCTAATGTTGCAATTAAAGATGCAAATGTCTTCAGGCATTGGGTGGGGACTGAATTAAAGTCTGCAGAGCAAACTTCCAGGATTTTCCTAAATTCTGCCTACTTGACTTCACAAATGTTTTAGTACAGTTTTTGGCATAGAAATTGTAAAATTACATGTCATAAGTGAGGTTCTTCCTCTGAGGCTTTGGCAACAAAGCAGTTTGCAAGGTGGAGCCTAAGATATTTGCTGCTAGTATGAGAAGGCTGGAGTCCAGGAAGACTAAAATTGTTTGCTAGAGCCATGCAGTAAGATGAGGAGACCTTCACATAGGAAGGGGGAAGAGATGTGCATCATGCGTTGGCGTGGAGGATGGATTGATGAAAGAATAAAGCTCTTTTCTACCTCATCTCTGCTGTGCAGTGGGAACACAGAGGTACGTGAACAAGGTTCAGGGAGCACGTTACCGGACAGGAGGCAGGCAGAAAGCAACTTTCGGGACACAAGCTCTGACATCCCCTGCTTCAGTGCCACAAAAGGGCTCCAAAAGGAACATTCGGGCTCATGCTTTTGTGCACGGTACGGGTGTTTCTGCTGATGGCACACAGGAAGGAGAAATTGCGCAGGAAGGAGAACTGGTACATCTTGTCAAAATCAGAAGGAACATAATGGGATAGAGAAGTGCTCAGGAAGCAGAGCAGGGCATAATGTTTTCATGCAGGATTTTCAAAAGACTGCAAGAATTTTATTACTGGAGAGTCATTGCACTGTATGTGACCACAACAACCATAGGGAAAATGAAAGCAGAATAGCAGCAATATTGCTGGTTTGGCCATTCAAACGTGGAGGTTTTGTAACAAATTCAAATAAAACCCAGATTTCCTGGCTTGGACATTACCTTCTAACTGTGTCTGTACAGTTCTGTACTCATACACCTGTGACCCGAACTGCACAGACACCAACACATTACAAGCCAAAAGCTAAGGAGCCTCACTAAAGAGCACCGCCATTCCAGGACTTAAGAACTAGGTCAGGCACATCACCTTTGAGTCAGAGCCTTCGAGGAAAGAACGAACACGTCTGCCTACCAAATATATTCTGCAGCATGATAAAGCAGATTAGACTTGAGAAGAGGCTGTATCCTTGGTTTGGAAGACAACATTCTTCAGCGGAAGACAGCTCGGTGTTATCTGAAAAAAAAAAATGGGTAGCAAGTGGCTTGGATGATTTGAAAACTGGAAAAAGAAAACTCTTCCAGTCCAATAGTTTACTTTATCTGGTTTCATTATTTGCATTTAGCCTAATAACCTTGAGGAAACAAGTCTTATACAATAGCATTTCAGACATGCAGGCAAGAATGCACTTCTCCCCCCAAAGCTTTTAAAGCCATCTGCCAAATTTGACAAGGGTTTTAAGTTTATACGCTCCTCCAAGTATTACAAAAACCAGCAGCTGTTAGAAACAAAAAAAGCCTTATTGCTCTTACTAGATACTGGAGAGCATTGAAGAACAAAAAAGCCCCAAAAACTTAGCAATGTTCAAACATGAAAAAATCTTCAGCCGATGCTCACATCTTATGACATACTCAGGCATCATTATGATGCTTCCAGAACTATTTTAGGGGGGAGTATGAGCTACTTCATACATCAAATTACGGAAAAAGATGGAAGGAATTTTAAATTAAAATATCTTCTTCCACTGCCCTGTAGTACTTACTGTGTACTGAAAGAGGTTGACATTTCAAATTTATAAAGCACAATCCAGCTGACGCTAATGAGGGAGAGTCTTACCGAGTATACGGTGCGCACATGCCCTGGCCTGTATAGTTTTACAGCAGAGAGAATTGCTGCTGCACAAAGCTTGACCTTATCTGTAATGTGGATCACAGAAGTATACCTGGATACACAGGGTGAAACCACTAGCTCAATAGTATCCAACAGAAAAAGCACCACATCCTACGTAAACATTTCCAGCTATGGAGAGCTATCACACCCTTTGAAGCAAGAATAATTAGCCTCTGGAGCATTCTGCCAATACACCAGTTTTCAGTCTTTCTAATTTCATCTTCCAAGTTGCTAGTGTTTTGTTTGCCACTTTTATTCAAGGTGTTTAAGAGTATTCTCACACCTCGGCATAAACCCAAGTAGTAAAAACTGAATTATACTTCAATGGATAACTGTTTTGAAACATTGCAAACTGCATGGGTGATAAAACCAATACTAGAAGTACATTTACAGTTCCTATAAAAGCCTGCATATTTATTATTAAAGATATTTCCTGGTATGTACTTTATTATGAATCAAACACGTTCAGTACGCAAGCAAGAAAATGGCGCAGCCAACTGCAACTTTTTCAGAGCAACAGAATTCTCAGCTCAGATCATGCATACAAACAGGTTTTAATTAAAACGCTGCACAGAAATGGAAAAGAAAAAAAAACAGAAGGAACCATGTCCTACACTTCATGCTTCGGAGTTTGTTCCAAAATACAGTACCACTTAAAGCAACAGTTGCTTGCTTATCTGTAATTATATCAACAGAAATTTAAATCAATGTCTTAACTGATACACAACTTGATATCCACATCATGAATACTCTACTACCGTTGAAATTGCGATACAGCATGCAGTTAAAAATTTCCAAAACCAGAAGTTGTAGCAGGCCTGCTGAAGCCAGGGGTTACTTGCTTCAATAGGTGTTGACTAAGCCGACCACTTTCAAACGTGAAGGGATGACAGTTCTGTTAAAGGAACACACTGTTCAAAAATGTCCACTGGGCATCCAGTGTAAGTCAAAGTTAAACTTAGTACAGAACTTTGAAGCTATTTAAAGACCTCTGTACGGTGACACCACCAGCGAATTACCTGGTAGCAACAGAAATACTATCTTTAACACCATTTTCTTAAACAAAATGTTTAATTAAACAGAGGCTATATACAAGTCAGAACTGCATGCCAATCCTAATAAATATTTTAAACACACTGCTGAAACTGTTACCAACTTTCAGAGAATTTTTTGAGACACTTTAAAACTTGAACTTGTACTTTCCTCTAAAAATCACATACTCTGCATAAGAGATCTTGTACTATTCCTACTGTTGCCAGCAATTTGGAGTTTTAAAGTGGATAGATTAAATCAGTTTGCCCTGGCAAATCCAGCTGAAGCAGCTTGCGAGCCTACCGCCCTGTTTCATCGTGAGAGGTTCCCACCACTGTGAGAAATCTGACAGCAGGGAACGCTCCTGCACCTCTACGGCTTCTGCTCAAGGTCTGAAGCTGAAACTGCCAACAAAGGCGAGCTCTCAGAAAGGCACTGCAAATGGGAGCTGCAGCATCTGAACGCGGGCACACCTCTCTTCCTGCCAGATCGGCAGGCAGCAGCATCCTAAACACCTCTGACAATCTACTCAGTGAATCCAAGTCACAGCCCTTCCATGCAGTTCAAATCAGCTCCACATTCCTGCCTCCTACTAATTTGTAAGGCAAGCTTAAAATTATTTTCCACTAGTAAGTCTTTTAAAGGTATTTACCATACTTTACTTACTATATTTTGTATCAACACATATACAAAAAACATATGTGCACAGTATGTATCATTCATACATACACATAAAATTATACGTTTATGCATTTAAAAAGATGCAGAGTGTAATTTCTCCATCACAGACAAATCTCTAAAGAGGATCGAATATTAGGAAAACTTTTGTATCTCAAAATAAAGTAAAAAATAGGTGTTCTCATTAGATATAGACAGAATTCCTTAACTGCATTTCCTCTTTTACATATAAGAGGTATACATTTAGGTAAGACAACCCCTTCAGGTGGAGAAAAAGAAGTTGCATTTCATACTCAAGATATCTTTCCTGAAATCGCTCCAGAAGAAAGTCTCCCAAGCCATGCAGAAGAAATATATGCGTTTGTAGTGATGAATTTGAAAGTAATAAAAATGAGTGCAGAAGTAAAAATCTACTGGAATTTATTCCACTTTTAAGGAAACAACTACAATTCAAAAATGTCCTCTACAGAAGAAACTGGAGTTTACGAAAGTGCAGTCTGCGTCACAAATGTCCTCTTTAGATATAGATATTATTGTGAGTTTCATTGGTTGTCAGCAACTTCTTCAAAATCTTTGTGCTTTCAGATACATCCTAGGAAAAGGAAGAGATGATGAGCATTAGCTACATTGCTGGTAACAAAACAAAGCAAAAACGCCTCACTGTCCTCTATGCCAATTTTTATTACTCTGAGTATCAGTTTGATTAAAATGTTAACTGCGAGTAAAACTCAGGTCTTCCGAATGAAGGTATCCAGAGACCTGCTAAAGGCTCCAAATGAATTTGCAGTTCAACCACAGAATGGGATTTGCTAATTTGCACTCCTCCTCGATTGTGTATGAGAGGAAGAGCCTGCATATTTGCTGTTGTTTTCCTTCAGAGTTTAAACATTTACATACTAGTCTGTTAAGAGTTATTTAGCAGACCAATAATGAAAACTAACTCACAATTCCCGTATTTAAAGCTGAAATAAATACTTCAGTACACACAAACCTCTTCTGTCATTTAAAACGTAAGTTCAGTTTGCAAAACTGAAGAGTGTTGTGAACCAACCATACTTCAATTAAAAATGTTTCAGAAAGAAGCAAAACATTCACTTTAATAGCTATAATGCCATGATTTCAGAGCTGCTTGATTAGTGCAAAACTGTTAAGAATCGTCTTTAGAAATTCAGTCTTTTAATTCCAGAAAGAAGTTATAAATAAAAATAAATTTCTTAAGAAGCTTTCACATATTGCACAAGACAGGTAGATACAAAGCTAGAACAGAGCCATCTTGCATATGAATGTAAATGTTTAAAAAAAAAAAAATACTTAAAGATTTTAACACAAGACACCTCCAAAGAAAACTGCAGCTTAAACAATCACAAGAAATTACTCCCTGATACACTAATACCACCACAAGAGCCTGCAAAGTCGAAGTGAAGTTTTGAGGGAAGCTGTAGATTCATTATTTCTAAGCAACTTATAAACAGATGTAAATAGTTACAGCAGGTACTATACCAGAAATCATTGTCCTCTGCCAATAAAGTCTGTACCTTTCTGTACATTACATGTATCAGCCTTTTCAGGTGGAATCCTCATACGGGCACATCAACAGCAGAAAGCAAGAGATGAAAGACAGACCAAAATAGATCAAACCTCCCATTAATTTTTTAATATGAAATTTTACCTTGACTAAACTCTTTAGGATTTTAGAAGAAAGCAGAGGCTTGAACGCTTCAATTGTAACCGTGTCCAGTTTGATGACATCAGTGTAACACTGATACAACACTGCAGGAATCTGCCATACTTGACAATAACTCAAAACTAAATACAAGTCAAAAGAAAATGTGTTACATTCAGCAGAGAAGGAATCTCAGTTCTGCGTACAGAATCACATTTGTTCTGGCCAGAACTTCAAAAGCATGAAAGTGTATAAACTAACCACTCAGGATCCTGACTGCTAGACCAGCCATCCCTCATTCCTCAGGTATGCAAGAAAATAAACCACCAAAAATTAGTAAAATGCAGTTGATATTTCTTCCTGGCAAATACCTTAACTGGAAACTGTGTATTATTGGTAAAAAAAAAAAAAAAAAAAAGAGCTTCTTAAAAAACAAAAGACAAAAACAAAACCCCCCAAAACAACCAAACATAAAAACGCAAAACAAAGTGCAAACAAGATAAACTTTTTCTAGAAAAATCATCTACTTTTAGCTCCTGCCAGACAAGTTTTTCCTTATGATGCTACCACTGATTTGGTACTCTATAATGAAAAGCCTCAGGTTTTTATTACATTACATAATAAAACTGAATCTAATTTTCACATGAGGTCAATCAGTAGCACTGTGAAACATACACTTTACCCGTAATATGTGGAAATGACTTTATGAGCCTCAGTTTGGATGCTCAGATGAAAATAACTCTTAATAAAACATATTTAGTTTGTAAGTAAAATGGCCAAAAACCCCAATATACAATACACTTTGTGAGGCTATACTGAAGAATTTGCTAGTACTTATGTTCCACATATAAGCGGTAGAAAGATTTGTGGGTGGTTTTGAAATTTGTCCCTATTTTACAAGGCAACATGTAAGATGTCAAACTGTTAAGAATTATTTTTCAAAAACCTAACTTGTCAGCCAGTTCACACAATTAAGTAAAAATTCTAATTGCAACAGGATGCTCTTCAAAGCGAATTTTGTATTGCCACCACCAACTTTGTAAATAATTGGAATTGCAAAATACCAGCAGCAGGAAGATCTCGCACAATGTTGGGTTGTTCCAGCAGTGGGCAGCAGACCTGCTCTTTGAATTCTTTTGTCTTCAAGGCTTTCAGGAACGGAGATGGAAGTGTTAAAGTGGATTCCTGAGTTTTATAATCAGCTACAGGACACGTTGAAAGAATGGTTACTTGCAAGCCCTCCTTTCGCATACAGCCGAAAACCTGAAATAAAAATGTTAATACATAAGTAGAATTTATCTTCTCACAATAACAGTGTAAAACCACAAAGATTCATTTCAATTTCAGTGCAGATGCAAATGGCAGTTTCATTCAGGTTTGCAGGACTAACTAAAATTGGAATCACAATCTTCAGACAGAATTTTCACATGCATTGTTTTTGTGATGGAGATAAAAAAACCCAAAAGAACAGCTAACATATTTACCAAGTCTATTGATTTTCTTGAGAGGCTTTAGGTTTTCAGCACTTTCTATTCACCTGCAAATATATTAAGACTTACTATTTTTACTAATGGTGACTGTAGAAAGAAAAAGGACTCCAAATAAAAACAGGCTGCTTATGATAGGAAGGCAGCTTGCTAAGCTGTAAGACATTTGAAACTGAAATTTTGCTCTCCAGATGTTCTACAGTACTTAAAAAGTATTCATTTTAAAGACTCAGATTTTATTTAATTTTATTCAAGTTGAATTGAGAAAGAGAACCTTAATTTTTCCACAGTCTTCCTCAAATTCAAAGAAGAGAGTGTCAAAAGCATTGTACAAAACGTACTTTTGGATCCATTGCATGCCGTCACAAAACACCAACATGCTGCACAGTGTTCCATTGTTTTTAAAGAACATATGTCAAAATGAGCAGAAGCATGATAAACCTGCACCTTCCCTTTACACTGTCCTCTTCAGATTTATGATCAATAAGGAAATAGGGAATTTGGTAAACATTACAGAAACTCGCCTGTTTCTGTATATGGTACCAATCATGGAAGGGAAGCTGACTGTTCCCTCACATCAGTGCATTACCACTGTAATATGAAACTGATACGACTTTTCAGAAGCACACATATTTTCAATTTACTTTGTTGGAAATACTTGCTGGTATGCATTACTGCGAAACTTTAGTCTGTATGTTCTCATTTTGTCAGTGATCACTTACTGAGAAAACACATACAGAAGTAAAAATCTGACTCATAGAGACTGGGAAGGTGCTCAGTAAATCAGAATTTATGAAACATACAGAACAGGTCTGTAACTCACATTAAAAGCAAAAGATTACCAGCACAATGTTTCTGCGTACATTTAAAAATACCAATAACCATGAAGTCTAAAAATACTCAAGAACATTGACTTGGTAAAACTGTACACTCCTACTGTTCATGAACACCCACATTTGAAATAACACATATGTGCTGGAAAAACACAAGTGGGGAAGACAGCAAAACCACAATCATCTGTCTTTTGTAATCCCAGTTTAAATGAAGTGCAAGAATGCGTGGAATACAGCAAAACCAAGATGTTTTAGGTCTTAGGGTTTCTAAACTTCAAAGTGCAGCATTACCCCCCACCAAAGCCAATTAAACTCTTCAACAAGCCAAGGAACCACAGAAGGCTAGTTTTCCACAAACTTGGGCCTGAAAATTCTGTATCGTTCAGTGAAGTTACCCCAGTTTTCCATCCTCTTTGCCTTCCCATAATCTCTCTGGCTCCCTTACACCGAGATGCTCGCATGGTTCTCCTTCGCAAGCAAGTAATCCTTCTCATGCGCTGGCTGGGCCAGCTGGCAGGCTAGGCTGAGCAGGTACCACTCAGCTCAGGCTGAGGACTTGCTCTCAGTGGACGCACTGCTTTTTATCTCACTCTTTGTATCTCTAGCCACAGCCTAACACTACTTCAGCATAACATAATAGCTTTAGAATCTCTGCTTGTTCATCAGATCAGCAGAGATTTAAAGGAAGGCAGGATAGCAGACAGACAGCAAGACAAAATAAGCCATACTTCCTTGAGGCTAAGCAGTGACCCAAATCCATAAAGAAAATCAACAGCCAGAACATTCCCCCCTGGCTTTATCTTATTAAAATCAACATGGTATTCAGAGGGACCTGAATGACCCAGCAGCGTTCGTGTACCTGAATGATGCTGGGGTAAGGCACTTAGCATACTAAGTCTATGAACAAATGGGACAGATCCTGCTTTGGAGGCACCTTTAGAGTTCCTCCTTGTGAAAGGAACAAAACACACCCATTAGTAAAGATACCATCCATCACGAGTTTCACAACAGGTTTGTCTGGTGATCCTTTGGCAGCCACACAAATGCAGTTACGTTATTAATTTTTAAGGAAGAATTCTCCCAGAGGTGAAATGCAGCTGAAATAAGCCACAGAAAACTTAAGCCAAACAGGAAAAGGTTTGGAAAGTAGTTAAGGTCACGAAAATTGAAACTGTCCAAAAGAAGTAATTGTACAAAGATGGTTAAGTTACAGCAGATACAACTAGCAGCATCTAGAAAGGAATTTACAGAACCTGACGATAGTAAATTTGTTCATTTGTTCAGTATTTGAGAAAAGAAAGCCACAGGGAAAACGGTTATTTACAATGCTGTCATGTTTAGAATATCAGAGAGGAAGAGGCACTTACACTAAGTTGAAGATTCCCACCCCTAAGATTTCATTGCTCAATTTGTTGTCTTGCCAGTTTTACCTTTTCAAGCCACTGGAACTGTTGATCCTCAGCAACGTAGCAACTACACTGGCACAAAAAAACCTTAAAAAAAAAAAGTTGCGTAAGCAAGTAGTTTAAAGAACACAACAACAGCTCATAATCACATGTAAAGATTAAGTGACTGTAGCCAACAACTTGTTCAGTTTTCTTGGGCTTCTTCGACTCTATTTCAACAAGAATTTTTCATTCACAACTGATGTGAAGCAATCAGGCTGTCATACATCTTCTTTGTACTGAACTTCACGTGACAGAATTTCAAATAGTTTTAGTGCACATAACGACCCTTCAGATTTTGGATGAGATTAATCCAGAATACTGCAGCCTTAACGCTTTACTCGCCCTGGGCAGGGTAAGGGGTGGACGAAGGTTGCTCTCTTTTTCAGGAAGCTAAAATATAGAGGAATTCATGCATAAGTCACTCACTGTCGGATCTGATATTAGTCGGTAGAACAAACAGAAAGAATCTGTCGGGAGGACATTTGTTGTGTTGGATGTTCGACACCACTCATTCCACAGCTTCACAACTCCAACAACTTCCCAACATACAGAATCCAGAATAAAAGAAGACAGGAAAGCTGCAGAAAACAATACATACTGTTAATTTATAACAAATAAAATCTCTGTTCTACAAATAAATACCTGAACTGAATTAGATTATTTCTTTGCAATCTCAAGTTAAAAAAAAAAATCTAACAACTTATTTTTATCGACATACATTTATTGACCAAATCCAGCAAAGATCAAGAATGTGAGTAACCTCACCATATCAAGACTTAAAAGATAAAGAGCAGTTTTACATATAGAGATCCCTAACATCAAAAACATGTATTCTTAGGAATTATATCGCTATGGTCAACTTTGACTCCTTTAGTATACACTAAGGATGTAAATATTAAGTCTCTAATAATTCTTGACATACCAGATATAACAGATTTCTCAAAAAAAAAAAAAAAAAGTCACTGAACCAGCAAGGCAGAACTATTACACTGGCTCTAGGAAGCAGAGACAAGAGTATGCACGACTTAGTGGCAAAAAGAGATCCTAAATCAAATGTTCATAAATCAAATTCCTGTCAAAAGTTACTGTTAAACAGAAGACAGATCTAAAAGATCCGTAACTATTTTTCAAGGAAAAACCTGAACAAAGGATAAACAAGTTAGCAAAGTTAACTTAGATATCATCTAAATGTCATCTAGATGTGACCTAAATGTAAAGAAGACTTAAAACTTCTTTATATCCACAAGGAAACAGCTATTAAAAAACTCAAGACCTTGGTAAGTGTGCGTGGGAAGGGGAGAGGGTGTTTCAAGACTCTAGGCCTAATAAGTATGTAATCACCTAAAAAGAGGGCATTTTGAAGAAATGGGGAATTAGAATGTGAAAAAGGGACTGACTAATCAAGGAAAAAAAAGTAAGAAAAAACCCCAAAAACAGTGTTCATTAGAAATTAAAGAAATTACAGCTTATTGACCCATAATTTTACGCCTTTGACAGATCCCTATTTCAAAACACTAGACGGCACTGAGCAACTTGCTACTATTAGAAGGAAACTTTTGCCAATTAACAAACAATCCAGGAAAGTCTACCAAACAAAAGTCAGATAAAGGAAAAGGGAGGATGTCCCAACTAAAATCCAAACCCAAAACATACATTGCTTCTGCCCTTCAACTGAAAATATGTAATTTTACCATGATCTGACAGGAGCAATAAGCAGCTGTAACAGAAAGTGTGTTTTACATGTACAGACTAACTTTGGCTTTCTCTGGACGGCTCAGCTGCCTCAGGGTTACAGCTCCGGTCCCTAAATGAAGGGCTGGACACCCGTAAGGCCCATTCTTACGGGTGAGACCAACGTTAAAGCAGGCTGTGGCAAAGGGAGTGTCCTGGCACACTTACACTTTCTTCCACCCTCGTGCCTTCTCAAATTTACCCACCAGCAAACGAACAACAGCATTTTAGAGTCTCAGACAGTTTGTTTTTGTGGTTTGCACCACCTACCTGCAGCGTTATGTCCTATCGCGATTATAAATTTGGAGCACACAAACGGCTGGTCGGCAGAGCTTTCCGAGGACGCGCCCGACTTCAAGGTCCAGAGGACGTCGATCTCCCTGGCAAGAGAGGCGGAGGGAACTGGAGCAGCGCTCCCCCTACCCTACCTGGCCCGGCCCGGCCCGGCCCGGCCCGGCCGCGCGGACCCTTTGCCCGGAGAGCTCGGGAGGGCCCAGAAGGAACCGTGCCAGCTGGGGAAGGGCAAAGCGGGTGAGAGTCAGCGGTAGGGAGGAGGCGGCCCCGGAGGAAGGCTGAATCCCGCGGGGGTCCTTATTTCCGAAAATACTGAAATTAGGATTTAGTGTGGTTCGGAAGATGGCGGGTCGTTGGGAGAGTTGAAATCGACTGTAGATGAGAGTCAGAGCAATACTCCCTGGAAACACAAGTCGTTCTGGGCTTGCAGCCATGGTTTAGGTGAACGGGCTGGGTGTGGTAGCATCCCTTGGAGCCCTGGGAAGGGTTTTGTAGAAGGACTGCCAGTCTTGAAAAGAGTACGTGTGTGGGCAAGCAGGGGCTGGAAGTGAACAGACTGGTTGTAAACAAGGGGTGCGGGTAAATGGCAAGCGATGTCGCTTTTTGATGACATCCATTAGGGTGTGGCAGTGAGCACTGTTTGGTTGAACCTGTCATAATTAATGATCTGGCAGAAGAAAACTGCACTCTGTGCACGAGTGGACAAAGAGACAATAAGAAAAGACTGAGATCCCCTCGGAGAAGGGCTTGAAACTTGCTGAAAACGTTGCTTTCTTCTGAATAGGCACACTGTATTTTTCAAATGTTGCTTTGCTGTACCACTTTTCTTAACTGGCCATGACCCCATGACCACCGTATGTCCCAGGCGTAGGCTCTCCTGCATTTCCTCTTTGTTCCTCCACCGCTTCCAGAGTTTTACTTTCTACCATCACATCGATTAATATTGCTAGTACAGTGGGTGCAGTTCTTCTTACCCATCCCAGCTGGCTTTGGAATTTGGCCTCTCCTGTGTGATCGATTGCCAAGGTTTTTCAGCTTGCTGGAGTGTGAAGGCAGCACTGAATCCTGCCCTAGGATCTGGCTTTACTGATGGCTCCTGAATGTTATGCCAGTGACTTAAACTTAACATCCAGACCATTCTCAGCCATCTTTCTCCTCCTGCTGTCTGCTGCTCTTGACAGTACCACCATGCTCGCCAGTCAGGAGGTGACAGATCTATCTTTTTTATGCCTAATACCTCCAGCTCTCTGACTGAATTAAACCTCTTTCTTTGTGACTTTAGCTGACTGAAGGACAGAAGGGAAGTATTGTTGCCAACTCCAGAAACAGAGAGCAACACGTCAGAAGGTTATGGATTTATTCCATGCAGTAGCTTTTGAAGTATTGAAAAAATTCTGTGTCCCTCAGCCTTACTCTTTTTTTTTTTCCCCAGAAGGAAGAGAGGGAGGCTGTAAAATGCAGGAGTGGGTGGGGGTTTTTTCTTTAATGCTAATTCATTTTGCATGAATACTGTTTACCAGATGCCTTTGTAATATTTCAGTAACGCAACATTTATGCCTAAGATGCTAATGTTAGGCATTTGATTGTTGTAAATGATTTTTTTTTTTACTCTTTTCAAATTACAGCTGCTATATGATGGAGCCTGTTTTTCTAGCCTCTTGAGTGCATCCACTGTCTCCAGCTGTTTCATTGTGTCAAATCCGCAGTTTTCTCTCACATCCTGTCAAGGGCATTTACAGATCTAAGTGTCAGAACTTAGATCACTCAGAAATGGTCTTCAGTGCTAAAATGCTCTTCTCTTTTTTAATGCTTCATTTTATTTTAATTTGAGTAGTTAACACACATCAGCTAGGCACAAAGAACCCACGCTGGTAAAAACAATCCACCTAAAAAACTTACTTGCAGTAAAACTTGAGGTCAGATCTGGTTTACAGTACCTGCATTGATCTCAGTGAGTTTATCTTGTGGTAAAATTAAAGCACTTTAGTAATTTTTGCTCTTTTTGTTACCCAGTGACTTAGTCTGAATACATGTCCAACCGTGAGCGCTGGAGTAGCTGTGATCATGTAAAACAAGGGTCTTGGTTTAATGGATGTATAATGAATGTATAAAAATATCTCAACCTGTGGACAAACAAGAAGCATTATTTAGAGAGTCAGCAGAGAGCAAACCGGGAAGCGGTTTGGCTGCTGTCTTAATCCATCATGAGACTGCATCTTAACTACAGCATGTAGCTCCAGGCCTCTGTTTCAAAAAGGGTATGTTGGGAATTGAAAAGATCATCCTTGTTGGGATTTCTTGTTTGTTTTGTTCTGTTCACAAGGGCCTTTCAGGAGGTGACAGCCTTTTCAGGTTGGAAAAGAGATGAATGAGGAAGAATACGATGGAAGTGGAAAACTTTATGAAATAATACCACCTGCTTAACTGTTGTGACTAGTATTGCCCAAAAATTTCTTGATTGCTTTGCTGAGTATGTGTCAGGGCAAACGCTGTAAAACTTACCAGTTTGGGACCAGTAAGGAGCTGGCTGTTCATGCAGTTCTAGTCTCTTTACTTACGATTGCTAGCTATTGCAAGGCTTCATCACAAACATGTTGTATGAGCCCAACATTACACACTTAACGGAGGTGATGATGAGTGAGTGGGCAGGGAAGTGGCCCTGAGCATGATGCTGAGAACCAGTCTGCTGTTGTCCTTCTGAGCTTCTGCCCCTGAAAGTTTCTTGAGATTTGAAAAGTTTAATATCTCCTTGCCTTTCAACTTTTCATTGAGAACAGCTATGTGATTAGAAATACTAAATGTTGTATAAAACAAATGAAAACTCTGAAAGTTACAAAAATATTTGTTTTAAACTACAAAGCTACCATTCAATTTCTGGACAGGTGTAACCTCACGCAAAATTCCCATGTCTTTTCTTTAAAATCTCCAGTAATCCTTTTATTCTATTAACAGCCTTTCACAATTGTAAAGAAATCCCCAAAGCAGCAATTCCTTCTGTTATTGTTCCAATAGGTTTCTCTCTCCAATGTGATACTGAACAACTAGTTAGCAATCACGTTTGATAGTATAGTATTTTCTGAGTCCTAAAGATATATTTTAATGTAGCAATGTCTTTGGTTCATGTGTGTTTTATGTTGGTTTTCAAAATACTTAGAATTATATCTGGAAAAAAATAGTATTACTAGTTATGTCTGCTGAATGGCTGCAGATTTTCAGCAACCTACAAGGTGAGCTTTGGAGTTTTTTTAATTAGCATGTGTACAGAGCAGTTGTTTCTTAAGTAACAAAACGTGTATAAACATACATCCTTCAACAGATATGCTAACAAGCAGTACACAAGTCCTTATGTAAGAATCTCCAGGGCTGTCTACTGTGCTCCTGTCTCTCTTTGGTGGCTCATTCTCATGTCAACATCTTTTCCATCTCAGAAATAGAGAGTTTTTAACAAAAGAAACAATTATTTGGAAGCTGCACAGCAAGAGCATTAGATCCTTTTGTGCTGTGCTTAGCTGCACAAACGCCTGGAGAAGCACTAACTGCCAGGGTAGGGCTTTGACTTGTATCATTTTCTTACAAATCTTGGCTATAGTCACGGCATTTCAATTTAGACCTGTTTACAAATAATTTGTAAAGAATAAGCCCTGAAATGATTAAAACAGTAAAGAGTAGAAATAAAGTATTAAAGTTATGCTATTTTTTCCCCACAGAACATCTTTTACCTTTAGCCTGATCCATCAGTTATTGAAGTCGGTGGAAAAACTTCTAGTGATTTGAGCATGTGATCACGAGGTATTTATAAACCAAGAACTTTACAGTTGGGTCTGTTGCAGTTCTTGTTTTCAGTAATTTTGATTGTATTTTGTGTTCTTCAATACTTACGATGTATCTAGAATATCAGTATTGAAAATAATTTGTAAATTGTTAAGCTTTGCTTGATAATGGAACAATAACACAGAAAGGTATCTTAGTGTAAGCTGTACAAGACGTGATCAGAGGCTCACTGCCATGAGCACGGAGGAACACTGACAGGCGGTGAAACTCCAGTGACCCAGCCAGGGCAAACTCTCTGACCTGGACCTGGGGCTGTCAAAGGGGGAGGATCAGCCTCATGTCCGAGTGTGAAACTCGCCAGATGAGTCAATGGAAGAGGTTCCCTGGGTCACTACAGACACCCCGTCACCCTGAGGGGGACATTGGAGTCATTATGGGATGCAGGGGTAGAGATTCTTGGGATTGTGCAAGACTTACTATAAAATGCTTAGGGGAAGGATCAAGGTGGGGAAAAGGAGGATCAAGGTGATTTGAGGAGGAGCAAATGTGAGAAGATGGGGAAGAGGTGACAAAAGGGGCCAGCTGCAAGGCTGCTGGTCAGTACGCTTCTCTGATGTGATCACTGCTGCATGTCCAGTATTGTGACTGAACTCCATTTGTAGCTGTTTTCACGGGTGAGTGTTTGTTCTGTGTGGGTGGACATCTAAGGGCCAGCGGCTGGAGAGGGGACTGGGGGTCATAGGGGCCCATGCTTCTGTGATACCAGCAGCTGGAAAGACTGGAGTGCGTGGAGGTCTGAGTGCCAGCAACTGGACAGAGGGCCAAGCGTCATAGGTGTCCATGTGTCTGGAGTGGCAGCAACTGGAGAGACTGGAGTGCATGCATATTATGTGGATGTGTACATCAGTGTGTGTAATTGCTAATGAACGTAAAGCTGGACTAGCAGGCTAGTAGGGTAAGAGGCTTGGGAGCCTGGTACTGCAGCATCCATAAGCCTGGGCTGCATACTGGAGAGACCAGAGCACCCTGAGTGTTGGCTGTGGGAGGGACCAGGAGGTCCAAGCCAGCTGTCGGAAGGACCCGTGGTATCAGGGGACAGCTGCGAGAGAGCCTGTTTGCGTGAGGTGACTGTCAGACCAGGGGATTCAGGGCCCAGATTGACTAAGGCCAGTTACCAGAGAGAGTCACAGTGTGTGCGTCTGTGTGCATGTGCACCAGGGGGTCTGGGCACCGGCAACCTCTGTGGGGCTGTGGGCCTCGGGGGCTTATATGTCCGGATGCCAGCAACTGGAGATGCCAGAGGATCCAGCAGCCAGTTCCTGGACAGATGGAGTGTCTAAGAGCAGCTGCTGGAGGGATCTGTATTGTATCCATGTATGTGTTCCTTTCTAATGGGCTTTCATCTTAATCAGCCAGACAGGGGAACAGGATGTGGCTGCTGGTGCTGTTGGTGATTGTGTGAGGGCTGCGTTTCCCGTGTATCTGTGTAGCTGGCCGTGTGTGTGTACCGTGTGCATCTCCACCTATTGAAAAAAACATGTTTAGCCCTGTTAATGGCTGGACACAGAGCAGCGGCAGCCTGGCCTCTACTGGGCAACAAGATTCCGTAACCTCTAGTAATTATTGTTGTTTGGGTATTGTGGTGGTATTAGATCTAGACACA